GAAATCACCAAGCACATTGATGGGGCCTATTTTACAGCGTATCTGTTTTTAGCACCACACAGTTGCTTTGTGCCCCCAAATAGAATAAGCAGCACGTCCAAAATCAGGCTTTCTGCAAGGGGAGTAGGGTTGGAGAGAAACAGAACTCGTTCCAAGCCCAACTGAAGGAAAAAGAGCCTCAAATTCCATCCCATTCAAGGCAGAAATAGCTTAATCAAGGACTGTCCAAGTGGCAGCCAGCAGACTGCCTAGTTTAACACCCAGCTGCCACTCCTCCCACTGCTCCAGGCTTTCCCTCCCTCCTCCAGCTTCTGCTTCCTGCCCCTGGGAGCAGGCCAGGTTCGGATGGCCCATGGAAGTCCAGGGAACTGCACAAAGTGGGGGTCATGCTAACCATGCTGCCCACATAGGGAGACAGGGGGAGCCCAGGTTGCCTACATAGGGTATGGCCCTCAGTTGCTCAAAAGTTGGAGAGCCCTGACCTAATATGTTGTGAAAGGAAAAATGTCAACCTGGTTTAGAATTTGTTAGAAAATAGAAGTGCTTTTTCTAATTTTTGTAACAGAATCAATTAAAAGGCTTCTTTCTCTGCCCTGCTTTCAGGTTTTAGTGCAGAAGAACAGGAAAGGCAGTGACTCATTTACTTTCATTGCCCATGTTGAGCAAATGGTAATAAACAGAATAGGAACAGAACAAAGGGCAAAATGTACAGCAGGTTGAATTTTTTTCCACTGAGTATGTTCTTAATTGAAAAGTGCAGATTGTGATAGAACAAGATGATCTGTTATTAAATTGTTCAATCATTTCAGCTTGAGAAAACATTCAGAGAAGATGGCATGCATTGTTTTGTTATTTTCGAAATGGAATATTTTAATTTTAGATTTCAAAACACTTTATTTCAAAATCTAGCTACGTTGAATGCAAAAAGTAAAACTCCCTGGAAACAAATGAGAGATTTATTTTCCTGTTGAACAAAAATGTTCAGTCTAACCTACATTTTGTATAGTCCTGATTGCAGCAAGAAAACCAAAAAAAGAAATCAACTGTTCACATGGCTCTAGTGAAAAGCCAGTTAGATTGTAGAAGTTTTGTAAGTGTTGATAATCATACACATCATTGGTGACCTAAGATCATTTTGGAAAGAGAAACTGAGCCTCAGGGTGAAAGTTTCCTTTCATGAGACTGTTGAGCAAGTGGGGCCTGGCTATAAGAAGTCCCTTCCCTGACCCACCTCTTCAAGAGAAACTCCCTGCCCAACAGAGAGAAAATTCAACTCCACCCTCATTCTCATTGCCATGCCCTTTATGCTGCTCCTCAAATGGAATTAACAAACAGGACAAACAATGTGGAGCTACTCTACCGAAATGAAAAATGTATATACACAACTCCAAAGAAAGTGCAGCCCACGACACCTTAAAATAAGATTCCTGCACCTCATGACTTCATAATCTATTTGCATACCTGAGAATATTTCCCTGTGCAACCCCCTGCCTATCTGTTGTATCTTTCTTGTTATTATAGTCATAGAATCATAGAAGTAGGGTCGGAAGGGACCTTGTAGATCCTCAAGTCCGACCCCCTCCCTGGGCAGGAGGGAAACTGGGCTCAAGTGACCCCAGCCAGGTAGGCATCGAGCTGCTTCTTAAAGACCCCCAGGGTAGGAGCCAGCACCACTTCCCTTGGAAGTTGGTCCCAGATCCTAGCTGCCCTAACTGTGAAGTAGTTCCTACGGATGTCTAAACCTACTCTCCAACAACTTGTGCCGTTATTCCTTGTTATCCCGGGGGGCGCTAGGGGAAACAAGGTCTCACCCAAACCCTTCTGGTCCCCCCTAGTGAGTTTATAGACGGTCACAAGTCCCCCCTCAGCCTTCTCTTGTGAAGGCTGAACAGATTCAGGTCCCGTAGCCTCTCATTGTAGGGTCTGCCCTGCTGTCCCTGGATCATGCGGGTGGCCCTCCTCTGGACCCTCTC